AAGGAGAGAGGAAGAGAAGGGTAGGGGGGTTAGAGAGAGAGGGGTGAGGGGAAAGGGGGCGGCTTGAAGGGGTTAAGGGAGAGGGGGTGGGGAGGGGGGGGGAGGGGGGAGTGCGGGATCAAGGAGATGGGGCGGACGTGTTCGTTGAAGAGGGGAGACACGGACCTGTTGAGGAAGGAGGAGGAGGTTGTGGATGGAAAGTGTAACGGCTCTAAAGCTTGGATGACAATGAGGGGATGTGGGGAATTTTGAAAGTCGGGCGTCCCGCTTTTTTGATTTTGAAATTCGCAGCAGGCAGCATAGATCTCAGCCAATCTCGTCCTGTCCGGTGACAGGCTTCTCCCCGATGTGCTGCGCTTACTGTGCACCCTGAACCAGCATGTCATTCACACCCCTGCATCTCCGTCACGTTGTACGACTTTCAAGTCTGCCTCCACACTTCGCCGTTTGGCATGGGTTTCGGCAAATGCAGCGCCCTGCCCCCGAGCAGAACCCATCATTGCAAGTCCTTTTACTGGGATCTAAGTAGTATCGTCGCCAAGGTGGGTGCCTCCGCACCTCACTTCTCTCGCATACACCCCACCTTCCACTCTTCCGCTTGCTAACCTCGAACATTCTCGCTCCAAATTCTCTCATCTCCTTGTATGTAGTCCCTCTGTCTTGCCACCTTTCTCGTCGTCGAAGGGCCCCGCCGTGTCGTAAGCTACGCTGCGAGAAAACCAGAGGTACGCGTCGACGTCCTTCTCGATCCAAGCTTGACTCTACCACTCATACGAATGCGCTCCTCCCACCGCGAAATCGCTCACCATTTCCTCCTTTACGAGCCCACCGTTTTCCCCCGCTGCAGCCCAAACCACTTTTCACCTGCCGTCGCTGGGGTTATCGAATGTGTGCCTGCGGCCATCACTACTACGATCACGACGACAGAGCTCCTATCAGCCACCTTATCCCAAAAGACCCTGAGCTTGTCCCTCCCCGCCCCAATCTTGCGGCTCCTCGCAACATCGTACCCCCTGTTGCACAGCCGCGGTCCCTCGTCGCCCCAGACGATCGAGTTCCCGACGATGTGAAGCTAAAACGCACTCGGACACGCCATTGGTACTGGCCCTTTTGAATACAAGCACATATCAACCGTTTTATAAAATCATGACATCTTCCCGTAGTTATTGCAGCCTACAGACTCCCAGAGTGCCTGGCGCAAAATGATCGCATGCGGAAAAACGCCTCCGACAGAGTCTGTTTCGGGGCCGCAAACACGATTCGTACAAAATTCTTGGCTTGGAAACAGCGCCCTGGTAGCACAAACACCGCCTCCTCCTCCAGCAACTTTTCGGTAAATTCCATGTCATCCTTGAACCCCAAAAGACCAACGTCAACCTCCGCCATCGCATACATAGCCCCTTGCGGCTCGATCAACCTCAACCCGCGCGCACCTGCTAGAGCCTGCATTGTGAATTTTGCGTTCTCCCTAAGCTCTTCCATCACAGCCTTGAAGGCCGGGTCCTCCACGCCCTGCGCAAGAAGGGACGGCAGAACTGCTTGTGCCGGAGAATTGGGGACTAGCATGCGCGTCGTCAGCTGACGGATGCCTTTCCGCACGCCGCCCATCTCCAATACGTCGTTGCGATCGTGAATCAGAATCCAGCCCAGACGCCACCCAGGAACTACAAACTGCTTACTGATACCGCCCACGCTCAACACTGGAACATCAACAGATTTGCTTCCCATCGGCGTAAACTCGCTTTCTGAGAAAAGCATATCTGCATACACTTCATCAGCAATGATTGGCACTTTCAGCATAGATGCCGTTGCCATCAAGTCCTCGATATGGGACGGAGAAAAAACAGAGCCGCACGGATTGGACGGATTATTCACAACAATAGCCCGTGTCCGCTCATCCGCAATCTCCACCAAGCTCCCGAATTCAATCTCCCAGTTCTTATCCGGGTTAGTCTTGTAGTACCGACACTCAATGCCGTAGCCCTCTGCGATAGTTCTAAACAATGGAAATCCCGGTTGTGGCAGCAGGATATTATCGCCCTCGTTCGCAATGGCCCCAATTGCTGTCTCCAAAGCACCAGACGTTCCGCCGGTTAGAACAACGTCGTCTGACGTCAAAGGTGACGCATCCGTCGTGTACCGTCTAGCAACTGCAACCCTCGCCTCTTCGGACCCCATTGACATAGTGTATCCATTGGCCTTATCACTTTGGATAACCTCACAAAAGCGCCTTTTCGCATGCTCGCAAGCTTTCAGGTTGCCGTACACAGTCGGGTCTCCAATCGACAGCTTGATCAGTTCCTTATCCGGGTTGGGCTTCACCTCAATGTTCTGAATGAGGTTGCGAATGGGGTTGATCGTTCGCAATGATCTCTCTGACGCAAGCACCTCCCACCCATCTTCACTACGTACTCCCCATCCAGATGGCGGAGGTTTATCATCTCCAATGCTACCCGAACCAGTCCCGTCCGTCCACGTTGCACCACGGCTCGTCCTTCCCTCCGACACGCCCTTAGTCCCCGTGGTCTGGCTATCTGACGAGGCCATTTTCACGGTTGACCCCACCCGCCTATTGTGCGGCAGCTTGCCCCTCTGCGACTCAAGCATCTTCAACGACACAGACACAGCCTCCTCCCCCGCCCTCTCCTCCTCTCTCACCTTCGCCCTTCTTCCTTCCTCATCCCACACCCTCGTGCTTCCTTGCCCCCCCTGGGCGACCCCCCCAACCAAATAAATTTCACGGTAACACGCCACGCAGATCTCTTCGCCCTTTACCTTCCCTCTCTCCGAAACGGCCCTGCCACACCTCGGGCATGGCGGATTCCGGGCCCTCTCATAGGCCATCTGCAGCCCGAAGAGCGGATGTCCTGTCCTCGGCGCACGCGCATTCTCCAGAATCAAAGTGCAGGCATCCTTCGTCAGCGCATCAGACCCATCCTTCTCAAAATCCACAACGCTGGCGCGCGCGAGCGAAAACCTGGACAAACTCCGTCCGTACTCGCGCTCCTTCGCCTCCAACATCACGCCCAACTGACCCTCCGACGCGACAGAAGCCAGTTCGAGAGAGGGTGTGATGCTTCCGCGAGCCTCAGCCAGGCGCGAGCGGCGGCGTTTCAGCATACCGAGACGGCGCTGCACGGCAGCCACGTCCACCGGGCGAGGCTGCGGCTCGCGAAGTAGTGGGTTCAACTCCGGAAATTGGGCCGCGTCCCCAAGCATCGGGGGGTCATCGGCAAGCGTACCAGCTTTCTCGGTGGGAGGGAATATTCCAGAGGCCGTCTCGGCATCCGTAGCCTCACCCAACAACTCCAATAAAGCGGTCTCTTCATGCGACTCCGATTCAGTAGACTCAAGGCGGACCTCACTCGTGGCGATGCTCAAGAGCTCATGCGGCTCCAGACTCTGCCCACCCGCGCCGGCGAGGATCTTTTTCAATGCAACGTGCTCCTTCGACTGGGCCGGTAGAGAGGCAGCATCAGTTCCCAGGTTCCGAAGCACTTCGGCAAGCTTGGGGGCATAGTCAGAATCGGACGGAAGATGGGAAGAGGGGGATGGAGAGGCGACGGCGAAGACGCGCGGGCGGCAGGATGTATAGCGGCGGGGGGGCGGGAGCAGAGGGATAGAAGTATGGAACGCGAGGTGGTGCATATTGAGATGAAGGAGGCGAAGGTGATGGGCGAGACACGAAAGTGGGGCGCGACGGTCTTATGAACGAGGGAAGGGGAGGATGGTGACGGACGGCAGTAGAGAACAAGAGTGGCTTCGTGAGATGTGTGCCACGCAGGGAGCGTGTGGGGCATTGCTGTGAATAGTGCGAGCTGGCGAATGTCCATCTTTAAAAAAGGTTCTCCCATTTTTCTGAAAGGCCGAATATCGATATGTTGACACTCCCTCAGGGAGTGTCTTAGCTTGCCCGAGTTTGCCCGGGTTTGCTTGCCCTGAGCCATGATTTGCACTACTATTGGCTACTGGGTGTTAATATATGATTTGAGACTAAGTACGACGCTACACTGCAAGCTCAAGTTATGTCAGTGTGTAATGACAAATGTCAATCATATATTGGCTACTTTTGTAAGTTTGTAACTTTCGAATTTGGACGCTGTGCTCCGGTGGACGCAGTGCTTGCACCTTGCCGCAAACATCCTCAACTCCCCCTTTGCGAACATCTATGCACCTGCAATCTCGCAAAGGCAACCCAACTCCGCGAAACACCTCTTTGCCTACCACTTTCCTGAAAATGGCTTCCACACCTCAATGCCACTTGCCCCGTTCTCCGCGCCTCTGCCGCATCTCTCCGACCCCCACCATTCGGAAGACGGGGGCCACCAACGCAAAGTCTCTCACTATTGCTTCCTCGTCTGCAGCGGGCGTTTCTGATCAAATGTTTTCCCCGCCTGTTACAGTCAAACTGTTTCAGGCGGTTGAGAACGTTCCCACTCCAGTCTCTGGGACATTCGTTAAAAATCAAGCCGAAAGCCTACATGGATTTCAAAGTCAAGAACATGACGTTAGCAGGTCCACTAGTGAGGACGAAGATGGTACCAGAACGCAAAAAGGGGTAGAAAGTCTCACAAAGGTCTTTAGTTTTTTGTCAGGTCTTTGAAAAGATGATTTGAGGAAATGGGGAGATTGTGGGGTCTTAGATCGGCCGCGAACAAGAAAGACCTCGTCTATCGAGTTTTTTTGTTCCTGAAGGACCGTAGTGGTCGCCGTCTAAACGTTTGTGGGACGATGGCTACGAACTTGCACTGTCCCAGCTTCGAAAAGTTGCAAGACTCGCACGAACGAGGCATGCCTTGATTGGAGGTCGCCTCCTAGTATCGAGCACATGAAAAATGCCCTGAAGGGCAGTGGGGACACGTTTGGCATTACGGACAGGCCATTGGGACGATCGGAAAGTAATTACGTGCCGGATCGCGGTGAGGAGGATGAGGAGACGCCGTCGGACCCTAACTTTACCATATCTGAGTTTTCGCGACTTATAGTCCTGATGGGCGACGATAAAAGGGTCCGGTCGTCACTATATCGGCTGGGCAGGAGTTGAGGAGGGCTGAACTTGACTCTAGTGGCTCGAGGGATTCTTTTTGGGGAATAATAGAGGGAAGGTTCAACGACTCATCCGTTTGCGTTCGATTTTCATTTCAGGGACATGCGGAAGACGCAGATCCCGCTGCAGTGCCTCTATGCCACAGGAGTGCTGATTGTTTGAAGAATCATTTTAGGGATGCTAAGTCTGTGTTTACTGCAGCTTTAGACAGGTGGATGCTGTCAGGTCAGAACGATCCTGAAAGGTTCGTGGACTTTCTGTCGAGGAATGGAGAGGTTCTCTAAGCAAACTCAAAACGCGCATTAATTATGTTTGTGGTGGCCCGGCTCGGGACACCTTTTGAAGATACATTTTTTGTAGAGATGTCCAGCAAGGCCATGTTAGACAGAGGTTATGAGGCGGAGATGAATGCATCGAGAAGGGAAAAAGAAGGGGAAGAAAGAGAGGCTGAGAATGCCCAAGCTGGAACAGATTTGAGTCGAAAAAAGAGAAAGAGCAGTGCAGAGATCGCGGAGATTGATGTAGTATAACGACCGTCGCGCGCGCGGGGAGTTTATTAACCGTGCGGCCGTGCACGGTGCACACGTGGGCGGGTGTGCCCACGTGTAGGGAGCGCGCGCGTGTACCAACCGGTCGTGGCGGGGCGCACGTGTACAGTAGCACACGTGTCGTCCGAGCGGTAGTCTAGGCGTGTTACGTGTGCGCGTTTGCACACGTGTCGTCCGTGCGGTAGTAGTAATTACGGCGCTAGCTTTTTAATTGTGTGCAGCACCCGGCACGCACTAGGCGGCAGGTACTGTACTACTGTACTGGGACAGGTGTCCGAGGCGTCCCTCTGAGGGGTTAAGACGTGGCACCGGTCCCCACCAGTAAACTGGGGCAAGCTCGCCCCCGTCCCTTTCGCGCCTATATACGTCCGTTTCGGTTGTCTATCGCGCGCGCTGGCTTCTAACCCGTTACCGGTCGCTCCCGTTCACGCACCACGGGGCGACTGCGCGTAACCGGCCAGTGAGCCACTCCCTTTTCGCGAGCTCGTCCGATCGGTTCAATTAGCGCGTCGCGTCCACGCCGCGTGCTCCCTCGCTATAGCCTCCGCCTCTCACCCAACCCAGGGCGGAGAGGAGTTATACCACAATTGACGCGGAAGGGAAACGGTTTGTGAGAACATTAGGTTGGGTTTGGCGCGCCATACTGGGAGAAGTTCGTAAGCTCTTGAATGAATTTCTTCCGGACGGTGGAGATGGCGCGGGCCGTTTGCCCGAAAGGACTTGCTTCAAAGATGGTGACGCCGTCGGAAGTGACCGTGGACGGACTGGAAATGGTGCTTGCTGCATTGAAGGTGATGCTGAAGGCAGCAAGCGTTCACTTGATTGTTGTGGGGAGAAGCTAAGGATTCTTCGAACTGGAGGGGCTGGAGGGTGGTTGGTTGGAGCGGATTGCTCAAGCAAGAGAAGCATTTCATCGAGGTTGTGCTGCGTGGATGTGGTGGCTCCGATTTGGTTTTGCCGTTGAGGCTCGAGATGGTTTTGATCTTGATCTTGATGTGGAGGTGGCAACTGCGATTGCGATGGTGTGGTGTGAAGCGAATGTTGCTGAGACTGGGATTGTGAATTTGTATCCCAAGGTCTAGAGGTATCCGGTGTGTGAAATTGTGAACTCTGAGGGGTGTGCGGTGCATTAGTTGGCTGGAGGGGAACATAGATCTGCAAATATCGCACCAGACTGCGTGCTTGTCGAAGCGACAGACACCAGAGACTTGGCCATCCATGGCTGTGTGAAGTGCATCTTTGCGGCAATCCGTGGTATTGAGGACCCAATTCATCATCTCGTTTCGGCTCGTTACTGCGACATCATTTTCGTCAATGTTGCCCTTTTTGAGGAGGGAGGTTTCGAAGCTCTTATTGTACTGGGTTGAGTTTAGGACGAAGACGAATGCGTGGTGTCCGTCGTGTCCAGACCGGTCACTCTCCTGTGCAAAGTCGACGAGGCTTCTTGCGGCGCCAAGATGAACTGTTGCTCGAACATCCGGAACATCTATTCCGGTACCGAAGGCGGACGTACAAACCATAATACGGAACAGAGTTGAAGGTACGAGGTCCTTGGTTGTTATGATGTCGTAGAGCTCTTTGTTTGCTGTCCAGTTGTTGTGAGCCTTTTCGCGAGCTTCGTTAGTGAGGCCGGCATGATATATGAGCGGCTCGACTGCGAAGCGTTGATTGGAATGGGCAACACTTCCTTGTGTATATGCGGCCGTCAGGGCTTTGTGGAGAGAAGTTGTTTCTTGGCGGGTCAGGGCGAAAGCGATGATTCTATATAATTTGGGCAATGGCTTTGGGGCGTTGGTGCAATCGAGGAAGTGCTGATGCAGAAAGCTTACTGCATTCATCTTCATGACTTCTTGTGCTGTGGTAAAGGAGCTTTCAGGAGTGCGAGTGTTTAGGCCCGGGTCAGAGTCGTCACTGAAGGTATGAACAACAAACTCGAGATTCCTTCTTTGAGA